ATTTAGACCCCATAATTTTATATGTATAGTTGGGATTATCTTTTCCGATGTGCATTACTTTGCATTTATCAACACAGAATTTCATCTGCCATTTTGTTGCCCAGTCACCCAGTTTTGTGAGATCCCTTTGTAGTTCTTTGCAGTCTGCTTTGGACTTAACTATCTTCAGTAGTTTTGTCTCATCTGCAAATTTTGCCACCTCACTGTTTACCCCTTTTTCTAGTTCATTTATGAATATGTTGAATAGGACTAGTTCTAGTACAGACCCCTGGAGGACACCACTATTTACCTCTCTCCATTCTGAAAACTGACCATTTATTCCTACCCTTTGTTTCCTATTTTTAACTAGTTTCCAATTCATGAGCGGACCTTCCATCTTATCCCATGACTGCTTACTTTGCTTAAGAGCCTTTGGTGAGGAACCTTGTCACAGGCTTTCTGAAAATCTAAGTACACTATATCCACTGGATCTCCCTTGTCCACATGCTTGTTGACCCTCTCAAAGAATTCTAATAGATTGGCGAGGCATGATTTCCCTTTACAAAAACTATGTTGACTGTTCCCAGACTGGTCATCTGTGTGTCTGATAATTCTGTTCTTTACTATAGTTTCAACCAGTTCGCCTGGTTCTGGAGTCAGGCTTATCAGCATGTAATTGCCGGGATCACCTCTGGAGACCTTTTTAAAAATTGGCATCACATTAGTTATCCTTCAGTCATTTGATACAGAAGCTGATTTAAATGATAGGTCAGAAACCACAGTTAGTAGTTCTTCAATTTTACACTTGAGTTCCTTCAGAACTCTTGGGTGAATACCATCTGGTCCTGGTAACTTATTACTGTTTAATTTATTAATTTTTTCCAAAACCTCCTCTAATGACATCTCAATCTGGGACAGTTCCTCAGATTTGTCACCTAAAAAGAATGGCTCAGCTTTGGGAATCTCCCTCACATCCTCAGCTGTGAAGACCAAGCAAAGAATTCATTTGGTTTCTCCACAATGGCCTTATCACCCTTGCGTGCTCCATTAGCATCTCTATCGTCCAGTAGCCCCACTGGTTGTTTAGCAGGCTTCCTGCTTCTGATGTACTTAAAACATTTTTTGCTATTACTTTTTGAGTCTTTGGCCAGCTGTTCTTCAAATTCTTTTTTGGCCCGCATAACTATATTTTTACATTTCACTTGCCAGAGTTTATGCTCCTTTCTATTTTCCACAATAGGATTTAACTTCCATTTTTTAAATGATGCCTTTTTGCCTCACACCACTTCCTTTTACTTTGTTGTTAGCCATAGTGGCACCTTTTTGGTTCTCTTACTATGTTTTTTAATTTGGGGTGTACATTTAAGTGGAGCCTCTATCATGGTATCTTTAAAAAGTTTCCATGCAGCTTGCAAGGATTTCACTTTCGGCACTGTACCTTTTAATATCTGTTTAACTAACTAACTGGAGGATTTTAAGGACAGGTTGGACATACAGGTTGGTCTAGGTCAGTGGTTCTCAATATATTTACCATTGTGGCCCATATATGCAGCTCTCTATGTATTACGTGGGCCGCATCCACACAATATATATATACTACATGTGTGGCCCTGAGGATATGGCATAGGCTGCAGCTGTATGCTGATTGGGCTGGGATTGAGAACCAATGGTCTAGGTTTATCGGTCCTGCCTCAGTGCAGAGGGCTGGACTTGATAACTTCTCAAGGTTCCTTCCAGCCCTACACTTCTATGATTCTATAAATCTCTCTCCCTCTCCCCCACCCCACCACACCACACAGACACAGACACATACCCCTTAACTGATGAGAATCAAAGGAATAAGAAGTTATCTTCACCTCTGCATTGTGTCATTGAAGGTCGCAGCTCAGGTGATAGAGTCTGCACCTCCCAAAGAGCCTCCTCCACAATCCAATGTATCGATAGCTTGGAGGGATCCTGGAGAGTGATCATGTTGGTAGTGACGAGATTCTATGTACGATCTAGCCTCTCAGTTCTAACCAATAGGAGAGAAGAGAGCAGTCCCTATTCCCACTTTCCTCTTCTGCAGACCCTCAAAGAGTGGGACAGAAAAGACAGACGAGCCCAACTTCAATAGTGTCTGCAGAGATCCCTCTCCCCACAGGGCATATCCACTGTCAGAGGATTTCAAACCGTCCATGCCAAGAAAAATGAGCTGACAGGGTCAGAACCAACCAGCTCCACCTGGAGTCACAGACACATTTCTAGTAGAAGCAGCTTCAATCCCAGTGAATCTGGTGAAATAAACAGCTCCCCTCTCCTCTACCCTGAACTCTACACTGCCCTGCCCCAGATCAAAGGTGTACAAATCAAATTAAAGGGGCTGAATCTCTCTAAAAAAGAAAGTAAGAACCTAGTGTCACGGAGTCCCCGGGTGATGCTCTGGAACTGCTCCCCACGAAGCCAGGCAGGAGTCTGGGGAAGTCTCCTTTCTGTGAGCAGCCTCTCTTCAGGACACACAGCTCACACAGCTTCCACCTTCCTGGGTCTGACCTTGGAGCATTCAGCATCCTCTGCCCCTCCGTGCATTTCCCAAAGAGAGTCCGCTCAGGCGGGCTACTGGGGAAGCCAGAGGGTCCTGCACCCCAACTTCGCAGTCAGACATGACTCTCAGCCAGCCAGTAAAACAGAAGGTTTATTAGATGACAGGAACATGGTCTAAAACAGAGCTTGTAGGTGCAGAGAACAGGACCCCTCAGCTGGGTCCATTTTGGGGGGCAGTGAGCCAGACAACCCTGTCTCCCCTTCACTCCTCGTCCCCAGCCAGTCCCAAACTGAAAACTCTCTCCAGCCCCTCCTTCTCTGGGCTTTGTCCCTTTCCCAGGCCAGGAGGTCACCTGATTCCTTTGTTCTCCAACCCTTCAGCTCTCACCTTGCAGGGGGGAAGGGCCAGGCCATCAGCTGCCAGGAAACAGGGTGTCGGCCATTCTCTGTGTCCAGACCCCTGAACACACCTGCCCTCTAGGGCTCTGCAACGATCATACACCCTTACCCCACCCCCTAGATACTTAAGAACTGCACAGGGGAAACTGAGGCACCCCCACAATATTCAGAGGAAACATTAAGAACAGTCCCGCTTCGTCACACCTAGAGAACCGCCTGATGGGTTCTGAGCTGGGAGAGTGTCCAGACACAGAAAGTTACGGAGGTGATTGCTGATCATGACCCCTTTTACTGCCTTACATGGTGGGTCTCATTTGCAAGGGCTTGTGTTGACAGCTCCACCGACAGTTCTTGGCACACAGCCAGGCATGTGCAACCTGACGGCGGGGACCCATAGAACCATTATCCAAGAATTATCCTTTATAAGTTCCTGCTCAAGGCTCCATTAACCTAGAAATGCAGTGAACTTTTCTTTCTTTTAGTATATGTTCCATTACCTTACTAGGCATTTATAGTAGGCAAATGAGATATAACAAGCAGGAACATGCTCTCCTCCTTTCTTCATGATCAACACCTTCTTGGTTTTTTTCTAATCCTTTGGTATCTTCCCAGTTCTCAATGGACATTTAAAAATAATTTCTAGTGTTTGGAAAGTTCATTAGCTAACTCCCTTGACTTGCAGGTGCATGCCATCTGGACCTGCTGGTTTGTGTATGTTCAGTATCCCAAGTATTATCTGACCTACTTCGTATCAGCAGCTATACAGTTCAGACAAAGTCAGCATTTTCTTCTTAATTGATCAGATGATTTCCTACCTCTTTTCTCAACAGAAAGAGATTTAATAAAGGAGTTCAGTAGCTCAGCCATTTTATAATAATCATGAATGCAATCTCATTTGTCATTCATTAATGTGCTTGCTTTCTTGCCAGTACTTATGCTTGATATACTTATAAGGAGACTTCAGATTTCCTCAAGGCCCTTTGGCAGCATTAACACTCCTTTTCACAAACGAGGGGAGCTCATTTTACCAGTATTAGACCATCGCTCTCCAGTGAGCATATGAATAAAATGAACAGAGAGGAAAGGTCAGAAGTGACAGCTGCTGTGAAGGTTTTAGGGAAGTCAAAGGAGGGCGAGTGAGGCCCAAGATTCCCAAGAGACAGCCATGTCTCAGGGGTAAGGCGGTAGCCCAATATTTGCTTGAACATCTACTTCAAGGTCCACACTCCAGGAAGTCCACCACTTGCTTTGACACCTCTGCACCCTCTGTTCAGAGCAGGCATTTGACCCACTGTGTGGAGTTAACCCTCTCCCAGGAGTAAATCCTGTCAGTTCCTTCATTGCTCTAAAGGACTCCGGTGCCAACAGTTTCTCAAGGGGGAGGATTTCTCAGGGACAGAATTGGAGGAAGTTCAGCATGGGGCCTGGCTTTATGCATAGTATTGAGCTCAGCTCTGCGGGGGTTCTCTGTGTAGGGCTGCAGAGATGTTGCAAGGAATGGGGATGCCCCAGTGGATCCAGGACTTGGCACGTTCCCTGCATAAGTGAGGCGACAGCCCTGGGTGAGTGCGACTAGAAAGGAGCCTGCTGCAGCACCAGCAGCCCAGCAATGGTGGCCTGAGGTGGGCAGTGTTCCTCTCCCCTGCACGGAGTCCAGCTGAAGGGCTTTAGCATGAGAGATTACCCATGGGGACTAACTGCCCCAAGCACACAAGAGAGGACGTGGAATTGAAAAACGGAGTTTTGGAGAGACAGTCCAACCTGCTGAATGCCTGATAATCTGTTTATACTCTTTGGTACGGCAACCGAAACAGTAAACATTCCACCCAACACGCTAACTGCAATCAGTGACCGCCGTTTCAGGCTGCCCCACAGACTGAGACACAGGCAACTCCTGCCCTATCCCCATGGACAGCACAAACCCCCACACGGTAACCACCCATGCAAGCCCCAGCACCCAAAAACCCACAGGGGTGCCAGACCCCCGTTACAGTAGCTCACTGGTCTTCCTAGGCAGCGCTGGGAAATGAGAACCACTGAAATATCGCAGGACCTAAAGTGAGATAAAAGGGGAAAATAGGGTCAAAGGCCAAACTCACCAACATCAGACTCTTTGTGGGTTTTGATGATTTCAGCCAGTTCAAAATTTCCTGCAATGATGGCCACCTGAAAAGAGAGGAAGGGAGGAGAAGTGAATGATTCTGAGCTGCACTATTCCCCAAGAAAGACCAGGCCTGCTAGCACAGAGGGAACTGCCATACCACATGGGCTAGCAACAGCCATTCACTGTGGCGGACTGCCACAGCCAGCACTCCTCCTGGCTTGGCCCAAAAGCAGCGTACGCAGCCAGCACCCCTGACATGGCATCCTGGTGCCAACAGCAATCCACATTCTTCCTGCAATGACTCCTACACTCAGAAGGTGGCAGAGAACTCAGAGCTCGGAGGAGGTTGAGTGGTGATGCTTCCACTACTAGCTGGGGATTAAATCTGGGACTTGTAGTTGCTGCTGAAAAATTCTCATGTCTGGAGCTTGTTAGGAAAACATTTACTCTCGGTTATTTACCAGTAACTGAACTCTCTGCAGGTCTTGCCTTGGCAAAGTCATAGACCTGTGTTATACTTGTTCCAAGCTGTGCAGGCCGTGGAACCATTTCAAAGCAGGCAGCTGTTGGGGGCAGCCTGCTCCAGACAATGGCCACAGCACTCTAAACCAAGATTAAATAAAGCCCTGCCCATTAACCAGCTTGTAGTATGGCAAAGATTCTCATAATACTCAAAAGGAGCAAGGAAAAAAGGGAGGCTGAACATAGATCTGAACAGGAAACACATGTAGAGAATTCTAGTTACTAGTTAGGATCCTTTTTTCTCCTTCAAGGAATTGCTGCTACTCATCCTCACTTCTGGGAAACAAGACACCACTAGCAATCCTCAGGAGGGCTAATATGTGATTAAGTAGACAGCGAGTGAAGGACTTGTCTCCAGAAATGAGCATCCAATCAAGACAGTAGCGGAAAAATATGAATTGAACTCTATGTAGAGCCTTCTTACACATTCAGACTATTAAAGCATTACAAAGACAAGCTGCCAGAGCTGGTACTGCCCTAGCATAGTGAGTCCTAACATCTGGTACCTGCAACCCTTTCTGGCTGTAACAAGTCTGAACATAAAATATCATCTTTTTAAATAGCCTTTGGGCCAAAAATCTCTTGCTCATTAGACTTATCTCCACATGCAACAACCCACCAGGATGATTTGCAAAAGGGCTTAATCCTGCACATGGGAGTAATTTACAGCACCCTTTTCTCAGAGTCAGAGAGCGTAAGGCCAGAGGGACTGACAGATCATCCGGTCTGACCTGTACATCACAAGCCACCAACCCCACCCAGCTTCTGCACACTAACCCCTACAGCCAGAATCAGACCAAAGCATCACAGCCCTCAGGAGACTAGACTATGCTGTGCCACACGGAGAGAAGAGGAGGCACCTCAGGGCACCAGTGCCCAAGGCCACTGCAATGGCAGGGAAATGACTAAGTGCCATATACGCAGATAACCTGGCAGCGACCCACACCCACATGCTGCAGAGGAAGGGGAAAAAGCTCCAAGGTCACTGCCAGTCTGACCTGGAGGACAATTCCTTCCCAACCACACATATGATGATCAGTGAGACTCTGAGTACGTGGGCAAGAGCCAGCCAGCCACGCAACTGAGAGAGAGAATGCTCAGTGCCACCTGAGAGTACTAGACCACACAGTCCAGTGTCCCATCTCCAGACGGGGCCACCCCTGACGCTTCAGAGGAAGGACACAAAAACCACCAGGATGCATTGGCCAGAGAATCCCTTCATGAGTCCTGACCCCTCAGCCCTGAAGCATGAGATTGTTAGGAATGTAAGGTATAAGCTCAGGGCTGGCTCTAGGTTTTTTGCCACCCCAAGCAAAAAATTTGCCACCCCAAGCTCCGAGAGCGCAACTGCCAAAGCCAAAAAAAAGGGTGGCCAGAACGCCACCCCTGGAATTGTGCCACCCCAAGCACGTGCTTGCTTTGCTGATGCCTAGAGCCTGTTCTGATAAGCTGAAAGTGAGCCCCAAGCTATTGAGCCTTGACTCCTACTATCACCAACAGTCCTGTCATAAACTCATACTCTTACATTCGTCCTGCTCTCTTAAAACTAATTAAGTTGTTTGCCCCCCACAACTCATAGAATCATAGAACCATCGAACCATGGAAGATCAGGGTTGGAAGGGCCCTCAGGAGGCCATCTAGTCCCACCCCCTGCTCAGAGCAGGACCGATCCCCCACTAAAATACCGGGAGGCTGCCCCAGAACCTCGCCCCTCCAGTGGTTAGAAACCTGCTTCTAATTTCCAGCCTGAGTTTGTTCATGGCCAGGTTTGTTTGGGGTTTGTTCCAGCCTGAGTTTGTTCGGGGAGGGGAGGAGCGGGGGCGGGAAGAGGCACAGCGAGAGCAGGGCCTCGGAGAGGGAGCAGAGTAGGGGCGGGCCCTGAGGGAAAGCCGGGGTGAAGCACTCCCAGGGAAAAAGAAAAGTCAGTGCCTATGGTTGTGCCAACACTGCCTTTCAGTTTCAATAGCTCACCACCCGCCCTGCTGTTTACCCCAAATGTGTTTATTGAGACCCATCAGATACCTCCCACCCCCCCGTTTTCTGTTTGCCAGGCTAAACAAGCCAACCTCCTCCACTCTCCTCTCCTAAGACAGGCCCTCTATTCCCCATATCATCCTAGCAGCTCTTCTCTGCACCTGGTCCAGTTTAAATTAATCTTTCTTGAACATGGGTGCCCAGGATTGTACACAGTATTCCAAACAAGGTTTTACCAGTGTCTTGTAAAGTGGCATTAATACTTCTCTCTCTCTCTCCTGGAAATGCCTCACCTGATACACGCTAGGATCATATTTGCCTTTTTCACAGCTGCATCACATTGGTGGCTCAGAGTCATCCACTGATCGACCCCCACACCCAGGTTTTTCTCCTCTTCCGTCACTTCCAGCTGAAGAGTGTCCCCTAATGCCCCTACTCTACTTGCGCTCTATTGATGACATCTTCATCATCTGGACCCATGGAAAAGAAGCCCTTGAGGAATTCCACCATGATTTCAACAATTTCCATCCCACCATCAACCTCAGCCTGGACCAGTCCACGCAAAAGATCCACTTCCTGGACACTACGGTGCTAACAAGCGATGGTCACATAAACACCACCCTATACCGGAAACCTACTGACCACTATTCCTACCTACATGCCTCCAGCTTTCACCCTGACCACACCACACGATCCATCGTCTACAGCCAAGCTCTGCGATACAACTGCATTTGCTCCAACCCCTCAGACAGAGACAAACACCTACAAGATCTCTGTCAAGCTTTCTTACAACTACAATACCCACCTGCTGAAGTGAAGAAACAGATTGACAGAGCCAGAAGAGTACCCAGAAGTCACCTACTACAGGACAGGCCCAACAAAGAAAATAACAGAACGCCACTAGCCGTCACCTTTAGCCCCCAACTAAAACCTCTCCAATGCATTATCAAGGATCTACAACCTATCCTGAAGGACGACCCATCACTCTCACAAATCTTGGGAGACAGGCCAGTCCTTGCTTACAGACAGCCCCCCAACCTGAAGCAAATACTCACCAGCAACCACACACCACACACCAGAACCACTAACTCAGGAACCTATCCTTGCAACAAAGCCCGTTGCCAACTGTGTCCACATATCTATTCAGGGGACACCATCACAGGGCCTAATCACATCAACCACATTATCAGAGGCTCGTTCACCTGCACATCTACCAATGTGATATATGCCATCATGTGCCAGCAATGCCCCTCTGCCATGTACATTGGTCAAACTGGACAGTCTCTACGTAGTAGAATAAATGGACCCAAATCAGACGTCAAGAATTATAACATTCATAAACCAGTCGGAGAACACTTCAATCTCTCTGGTCACTCGATTTCTGATCTAAAAGTGACTATTCTTCAACAAAAAAACTTCGAAAACAGACTCCAATGAGAGACTGCTGAATTGGAATTAATTTGCAAATTGGATACAATTAACTTAGGCTTGAATAGAGACTGGGAGTGGTTGAGTCATTATACAAAGTAAAACTATTTCCCCTTGTTTATTCCTTCCTCTCCCCACCCCCTCCACCCACTGTTCCTCAGACATTCTTGTTAACTCCTGGAAATGTGCTGGAAATGGCCCACCTTGATTATCACTTCAAAAGGTTTTCTCTCCCCCCACCCCACTCTCCTGCTGGTAACAGCTCATCTTAAGTGATCACTCTCCTTACAATGTGTATGATAAACACCCATTTTTTCATGGTCTGTGTGTATATAAATCTCCTCACTGTACTTTCCACTTTATGTATCCGATGAAGTGAGCTGTAGCTCACGAAAGCTTATGCTCAAATAAATTGGTTGGTCTCTAAGGTGCCACACGTACTCCTTTTCTTTTTGCAACTTGTAGTAGAAATTCTTATTAGACCCTAAGTGCACGGTCTTGCATTTTGTACTACTGAATTTCATCCCATTTCTGTCAGTCCAGTCTTCAAAGTCACCCAGATCCCCCTGCACCATTCTGATACTCCTCTGTATTGACGGTGCCTCCCAACTTTGTATCATCAGCAAATATCAGCACACTCCTACTGTTTGTGTTAAGGTCATTAATAAAAATATTGAATAAGATTGGTCCCAAGACCGACTAGAGGAACTCCACTAGTAACCTTTCTCCAGTCCGACAGTTCATCTTTTAATACAATGCCTTGCCATCTCCCTTTAGCCAGTCCCTTATCCACTGTACAATTCTTGTACTGATCCCCATCTTCTCTAATTTAACTAATAATTTCCTGGGTGGCACCTGGTTAAATACTTTACTGAAGTCCAAGTATATTAGATCTGCATTTCCCTCATCTAAAAAACCCGTTATATAGTCTGGCCTATGTCGCTTCAGAACCAACACTGGCAGGATAATTGTTTGCTGCAGATGAAAGTTTGACAGCACTCTGAGCAAGAATTTAGGTCATAACAATTTTATCCCTGTAATCACTTGTTATGGGCACACGAACCACGAGATGCTGAATCACTCTCACAGTCTCAGGCGCATGCTGTTGCCACCAGCAATGCTATCTGCAGAGGTAGGT